AAAAACTATGAACAAATTCCTATGCACACTGCACATATCTTATTTTGAAGTAAAAAAACAAAACGAGAACAAATACAATATTTGTATTTGCATGTGGCCTTTGAGGACCCCTGCTCTACCCACTGAGAAACACTGGTCAGGGCCTGACTCCCTCTTATAAAAACCTTGTGATGACATTGGGCCCACTCAGATAATCTAGAAAAATCTCCCCATCTCAAGATTCTTAATTTACTCATACCTGCAAAGCACTTTTTGCTTTATAAGCTTTGTAAGGTGGCCTAGTCATATATTCTAGGGATTCAGATATATAGACGGGGGGCCCTTGGCCCTCCCAACTGCTCCCCTACTTGGCAAGACAGCCTGAACTGCCCCATGGCTGAGTTTGGCCAGCAGGGGATCCTCTCACTCAGTTCAAGCAGCATCTCTCAGTTCACGGGAATAGCTATAAACAACGTGTGGCTCTGGCATGCAGTCCGGCAAGACAAGACAAAAACCCCTAATAGGCCTTGACCTTTTGACCCCCAAATTTCAGGAATTTACCCTAAAACATGCACTCACAAGTATCCAAAGACGTATGTGCCAGAACAGAACTTGCAGCTTTCCTGCTGATCAGGAAAACATGCAAACAACTTACATGTTCAATAACGGACGCCAGTTAAAGAAATCCCAGAACATCCACAGAATCCAATCCTAGGCGGCACCACAAATGACACAGAATGACATGGAAATACGTTTACAATATCCTGTTAAGTGGGGGGAAATAGTCTCCCAAATAATAAGTACAGTTGGACCCTATTGTCACAAAAATTCACATATTTAGCCCTAGCCAGTTTGGCTCAGGGGATAGAGCGTTGGCCTGAGGACTGAAGGGTACCAGATTCGATTCCGGTCAAGGGCCTGGGTTGTGGGCTCAATCCCCAGTGTGGGGGGTGCGGGAGGCAGCCAATCAATGGTTCTTTCTTATCATTGATGTTTCTATTTCTCTCCCTCTCCCTTCCTCTCTGAAGTCAATAAAAATATTTTTTAAAAACATTCACATATTTATGTTTATGTCACATTTTTGCATTGGGAAAAGTATGGAAAGATAGATACCAAAAGATCAGCTGTGGTTTTCTTGGGGTGGGGGTAGGTTTTATTTTAACCACTGTGTAATATTTAGGGCAGGCCTATTGGGTGCTTAGTACTTACTGTGGTAGTTAGGAAGTAAGACTTTTTCTCTCTTCATGGATTAGACTCTCACAGAAAACTAGTTTGTTTGGTGGAGAAGAGGAGGAGGTTTCAGTGTAAATAAAATTATTTTCTCATGTTACTTGAATGAACATTCATTGGTTGTGCAATTTTTTTTACAGTAAACACTTTTTAAAATTGTGGTAAAACTTAACCTGAAATTTACCATTATACACTGTTTTTAAGTGTATAATTCAGTGGCATAAAGCACATTCACCATGTTGTGCAACCATCACCACTATCCATTTCCAGAACTTTCTCATCATTCCAAACAGAAACTCTGCCCCCATTAAACAGTAACCTCTTTCCCCCTTCCCCCAGCTCCTGGCAACCACCATTCTACTTTCTGTCTCGATGAATTTGCCTATTCTAGGTACCTCACATATAAGTGTAAGTGTGCAATATCTATCCATTTGTGTATGGCTTATTGCACTTTGTAAAATGTTTTCAAAATGTGATTTTTCTTTTCTTAAAATATATTTTATTGATTTTTTACAGAGAGAAAGGGAGAGGGATAGAGAGTTAGAAACATTGATGAGAGAGAAACACCGATCAGCTGCCTCCTGCATACTCCCCACTGGGGATGTGCCCCCAACCAAGGTACATGCTCTTGACCGGAATCGAACCGGGGACACTTCAGTCTGCAAGCCGACGCTCCATCCACCGAGCCAAACCGGTCAGGGCTGATTTTTCTTTTTTAAAGAACACTTTGACAAGTTCTAGGAAATGCAAGCCACGCTGGACAGATTTCCACGGACCCCCTGGGGCCTGGTACAAGGGTCTTTCCAAGGGGCTCACCCAAGTGAGGCTGGGGAGGGGGTATAACTGAACATGAGCAGAGAAAGGCCCTGGGTCACACACACCAATCCACACAGCACTGTCACCCCTGAGCAGGCAGGGGACAGAGAGGAAGGGATTTGACAGGGGCCCCCAGCACCTGACAGCTGAGCCTGTACAACAGCAGGCTCCCACCTGGGCTCCCAGGACCCGGGATGTTTGTAAACACCCAGAGACCAGAGTCCCTTCCAGGAACAGGCTTGTGGCCCCTTGACAGTGACAAGTGGAATTTCACTCTTCACTGGAAACACAATCCCCAAGGCATTGTGTTTCTGAATCCAGAGATGAAACTGCCCAGCTGAATAATGTACATTCTCTAAATTACTAAAAAGCCCAAAAGAGGGGCTGCCACACCAGGGTCACCACTGCGAGTCCCCAGAGCAGCAGTTGGAGTTCTCAGCGAGGCAGGACCAACAGGCTCCCACCCTCAACCAGATGCTCTGCTGCCTGGAGGCTAAGGGTCGGCCTGGGGGCGCTGGGAAAGTCTCCCTGCTCCCAGGGTTGAAACTGACCCGAGTGAAAACAGGAAAGTACTCCCTGTAGGGAGTGAGGTCTGCACTTGGGCAGGAGCCAGGCTCCCTGTCACCTTTGACCTCTGGCAGCAGGGCAGGCTGGGGTTTGGTCATAAGGCAGGCCTGGGTCTGGTTCTGCCATGTGAACTTTGGCTCAGTGTTTATGCTCTAAGCATGTTTCCCCATCTGTCAAATGGGGTTTAATAAAGCACCCAAACACCCACAGCCCCAGGGAGCCCATCCCTATCTCATTCCAGATGGGAGCCCGAGAGTGTGCAGTGGGTGCCCTGGTTCAACATCCTGGGAGGACGGGGGTACAAGGCACGTAAGGGCTGGTATGGCTCCAACATGGGAAGCATCAGTTAAACGCTGCTGCTGTCAGGATCACTGACTCGGTCTCTCCACCCTCCTCCCACCAGCCCACCCTTCCTGGTCCTGAGCTTCCTACTTCCTGTGCTCCCCTGAGGCAGGAGACACCAGCTCTCCTGAAGGCCCCCCTGCGCCCTGCACTTACAGTAATAAAGATGCTGGAGGCTGCACTTACAGTAATAAAGATACTTTCAGGCAAATTCTTTACACAAGGCCCTTGGGCTCAACATTTGATAGAAGGAATGGCTGGAAGAAGGTTCTAGAAAGACAAGGCTGCACATCGCCTGTCCAGATGACCGACCTGTCAAACACCAGGATAAGACCCAGAGACATTGCAACAGACCCAGATGGGGAAGCTGGACTTGGGCTCCGCCCTCCTGGCCGGCCTGGGGTGGCAGAGGCTTCCCGAGGCAGGGTACTGGAACAGGAGCTCAAAGGATGAGTGAGAGTTCAGGGAGCTGTGTGGGCAGCAAAGCCAATGTGGAGGTTGGTCCCCGCAACAACCCAGTCGCCAGCCTCAGTCCCATGTGCTCCTGGGAAGAAACACACCAAGGTTCCAGAAAGCAGAGCCCGGTGGGAGGCTTGCCTTCAAACCCTGGCTCTGCCATGCTCTGCCCTGAGCCAGTCACCCCTCCCCAGACCTCAGCATCCTCTCTGTGCAATGGGCAGTTGTGCAGGGTGCTAAGAGAGGGTGCGGGAGAGCTGGGGTCAGCCCTCTTGGGATCCACTTGTTTCCTCAGAACAATGTGTGTGTCTTTCCCCTGATAAACAAATCTCTTAGGGTATTTGAAGGCATCAGGACCAGACTCCTGCTGGGCACCCAGACCTGCGAAGTCCCAGGTGAGCAGAAACCTGTACAAGTTATTGTGTACCTAATACGTTCAAGACATTGCAGGGGTTGCCATTTCCTGGAAGTAGAGCCTAAGGTGGGGAATCTTTGAAAGTACCTCTTTGAGAAAAGGGGAGTGAGGGAGCAGGAGGGGGCAGGGGGAGGTCTGAACTGGGAAGTGGTGCCCTGAGCCGTAATCCAGCCCCAGCCGGGAGCTCTGGCATATGGATTGCAATACAGAACTGATCCCACCTTAGGCAGGGGTTGGGCTGTTAGACTCCTGACCCACTGCCTAGCCTGGGGTGAGGGGTAACCTCTGGCCAGACAGGTCTCGCTCAGCCAAAGGCAATTTGCCAGAAACGGTGGCTGTAGCAGTTAGCAGTCACGTCTCCCAGCAGCTGGGGGCTGGGCGGGCCTGAGAAAAGGGGTCTGGGCGGCTCTGGCTGGTTACCTCCAGCACCCTCCCCGGAGGTGGATGAGTCAACCCGTCTGCAGCTCTACAGGTCCTTTTGCCCTTAAGGAGCCAAAAACCATTGGCTGCCCTGGGCATGTCTGGGGAGTTGCTTGTGAAAGTCAGTCCGAAAGTCCCTGCAGATAGGTGGGGATGGATTTCCAGATAGCCTTTCCGGCCACCTGCCCCTCACCCCACCCCTTAGGATCCCTGCAGCATCCCACTCAGAGTTCAGAGGGAGAAAGTCTCAGCCCACACCCTTCCCTGCTCAGGGGGAGCCCCAGGTGAGAAACGGGTTCACCAAGACACTTGGAGCTGCGGCTGGCCCCAGGCCTCCGATTTCCAGTTCTTTCCCCGCCAAGAAGAAAGCCCATGGCAGACTCCCCTGTAAGCAGGAGCAGGGTCTCCCTTTTGGGGGTGAGAGTGGGGAAAGCTCCAGAAGCAGGCTCCCTTCTTACTCTCTGAACACCCAGCCCACAGTGAGACCAGGGAACAAGGACACAGCAACCCTGGGCCAGCCTGGAGGGAGACTAACCGCCATGACTGGGCTCAGAGACAGGCCGGGCAGCTGGGGGCTCTGAAGGGCGAGGGCTCTGAACATCGAGGGGTGCTGTTCCTGCTGCCAGTGTCTCAGGCGATGTGACTTTTTGGTTTTAAATGGTTCCTCCCAGACAATCCCTTCACCCATCTACAAGGAAGGAATCTTCACCGGTTCTGAGGCCTGTGAGGGCCTAAGCCCCGCTCATCCCGGGAGCACAGACCAGTTCTCCACCTGCAAGCACAGGACCGGGCCAGCGGGCGCCCACACTGCTCATCCTCACTGGCTCCCTCCTGTCAAGGATGCACTGAATGGGGCCGTCACCACAAGTCCAGTCTACGCTGCTTCCTAATTGTCCAGAGGCACCCCCATATTACAGAGAGGAAAAGTGCGGCTGCACAAAGCAGCCAAACTTACAAAAGAAACAGTGGAGCCAGATCTGACGCTTGGGGCCCGATGCTCTGGAATCCTGCATGCAGGTCTGACTGTCCCAAGTCAGGACCAGATGGTAGACCTGGAGACACACAAGGGGCAACTGAAATGACAAAGGGGTGGGCAAGTCATCAAAGGAAGAGGAGCCTCAGTTTGGGAGGATAAAGGCAGAGAGGGGATAAGATTGGAGGATACATGGTTGTGAATAATAGCGAAGGCATACGTGGACCTGCTCACCAAACCTCAGAACCATCTGAGAAGCATGAGGGAAGTGAAGCCCCACCTCTAATCTGAACAAAACTCACTTACCCTGAAAGGTGACAGGATAAATGGATTCAGAAGTTTAGAGCAATTCAGAAATGAATGGGCCTCAAAACTGGGTTTGTGATGAGTCAAGTCATTGGGGCATATTTCAGATGCACTCGTCAGGGGCCTCAGAGAAGCAGAGCCAATGGGATGGATACAGGCAGAAACCCCACGATCTGACCTCTGCACGCTGGAGACCCAGGGGAGCTGATGGTCTAAGTTCTAGTCCAAGAACCAGGTCCTAGAACCAGGAGTGCCCATGGACAGGAGGAAATGGACGCCTGAGGTCAAGGAGAGAGCAGGTTTGCCCTCTGTCCCACCTTTTGGCTCTATTCAGG